GCAGTGCTACACTGCAGATTATCTGAAAATACCCTGTCAAGAATATCTCGGTACCCAACTCCCTTTGCAGTCTTGTTAGCCATCATGTGCCCTTTATGGGTATTTGTTTTGTTCCCTTGTAGCCTTGAAAGCCATCATGTCCACTTTAAGGATATTTGTTTTGTCCCCTTGTAGCCTTTTAAGCCATCATAGGTCCTTTAAGGATACATGTATTTGTTTTGTCCCCCTGTAGCCATCATGTGCTCTTTAAGGATATTTGTTTTGTTGTCTTGCAGTCTTGTAAGCCGTCAGGTGCCCGTTAAGGATATTTGTTTCGTTTCCTTGCAGTCTTGTAAGCCGTCAGGTGCCCGTTAAGGATATTTGTTTCGTTTCCTTGCAGTCTTGTAAGCCGTCAGGTGCCCGTTAAGGATATTTGTTTCGTTTCCTTGCAATCTTGTAAGCCGTCAGGTGCACTAAGCGGATATTGTTTCACCCCCTTGTAGTCTTGTAAGCCATGATGTTCCCTTAGATACGGATATTTTGTTTGGTGTAAGCTTAATGCACACTTTTAAGGATATGTTATCTCGGAGAAGGGTGCACATTTTAGAAATATTTTTCCATGATTGCTTATTAAGAAACCACTTGTTTCAAATGACATGCATATAAATGTGTAGATACTGTAGACATGTTTGGTGTGTTGTATGTACAATAAGGTCATAGTATGGTGCCAGTTTTTACAATTTTGCTGTGATTCAAATCTGAGTAATATTGGCCAATGTTAATGACTAGAGTTACAATGTATACCGGATTCTATCCGTAGTATATTGTATACTGTAGTACAGGTATTTACTTGTTTGTTTACGTCTTATGTATATTCTTTTCTGTTATGTTTTATTTTTTATGAGGAAGTTTATGACATGACATGGTATTTTAACAACAATGAAGTTCACGCCGATTTATCGACTTCTCAAAAAGAAATAATTTTTAAAGCTGGTAATGTTTTGGATCAAATCTGATATCCTGTACGCGCATTATAAACAAGATATTAAATTTCTAAAGAGAAGATTGTATCGGGAACAAACTAAAAGATGTTTTGTAATGCTGTCTAGAGAAAGATAAATGGCAAATCCAATATTAAAACAGAGTGATAAATTTGACAAAATGTATGTTCATCCATAATATAATGCTCTACTAGTGTGAAATAAATGTCTTCACAACACTAAATACTATCTCTGCCGTCTGTCAACTTTGTATTCAATGTATCCTTATTTATGTGTTTATTGGTATATACTAATATACAAAAACGGTCTTATTTAGTAACTCTTGTAAACAAGCAAAATGACAATCGGTGCAAGATCGTGCAATAGTTGCAAGATTAAAGAGTGTAGAGAGATATGAAAGGGGAATAACTAAGATCTGAAAATATTTTTTGTGTTCAAGCTGAGTACATGTTCAATAATAACTATACAGAATCTTTGCGAGATAGTCTGTTACGATTTCAGTATAATTAATATCAGAGTAAAAAAGAAAGGGATGAAATCTTGGTAGTTGCTTATTTGTAAAACCTATTTGCAGATGGTCTGTTTCTACCCCATGTGCATATGGCCTTTGCAAGAATCAAAATTTCTTTAGCACCATAAATATTACTATCTTTTTTCAACAACGAACGTTCTTTTGTTATTCTCAAGGTTAAAAGAAACTATAACAAAAGAAACTCGAGTTTTATGTCCTCACAAAAGAAACTCGAGTTTTATGTCTTGTCATGTAGGACAAGGATTGGGGGAAAGATGGTTAAAGAGATTGCATGTAATATTGCAATGCACCTTGGTTATTAAATAATATGCAAGAATAACCCGGTCTAAATTTAAATAACATTTTTTCCCCAGCAAACGTCATATCACAAAGGGGATGAAGTGCAACTTGGTGATCATTGTGCCCTAAAACAAGGAATCCCGTAGAGGATTGTTTCAATATTTTTTTTTTGCCGGCATCTGGGTAAAAACTTGGGGTGGGTTTATTTCATTGTTCACTTTTAGATTTTCATCAACGGAAACCTCCGTGGTAGATACATGTACATGTATTATGATGTGAATATATTGCAAATCATCGTTTGATATACAATGAAAGATATTAAATTAAATTTGGTGTTCTAGATTAAAAGATAAGGTGGGGAACATGTCCAGGTATTCAACGCGTGCGCAAGATATAATTAGAGATAGAATTCAAAGCAAGTGACAAATCAAGATTTACCGCTTTGTAACTCCAAACACAAGAAGTGTTCGTCACCGCGGGTGTTTGATGGTCTTTTTCGCTCCATGGCCAGGCGTGGTAGGAGAGATCCCCCCACGAGTTTCCTTGTTTCTTTTGTTTTATTTATCTGAAAAAATATCGTATTGGTTAACTTCAACTTCTTAAATGTCCGTCAATGGAAGACTTCCAGCGATGACAAAGACTTGTCATTGCATTAAAACAGGTAGCTGCAAATATGTATACGTAGCTCATTGATTTCAAAACAAAAAGGGCTGGGCGACCTTTTCGATTTTATTTAGACTGGTGAACTGCAGATTTGCAGAAACTTAAAAAGCTAGCACACTAGTAAATTTTGGTTATTACTAAATATCAGGGTAAGAGAAGGGTGAAGTTAAGGGGGAATCATTGTAATGTAGATAAAGTGTTAAAAAAAAAAAATTAAGCAAAAATTCGAAGAATGTTCTTGTCATAATTATCAAAATTACCGGATATACATATGTATTTAGTGTATGTATGAAAAGGTACATATCTTTCGCAAAATCAAAAGAAAACAATTTCGTCAATTTTCATTCTTTCATTCATTTATTGACTCAAAAAACCATATAAATGGTACAAGAGGTACATATATACATATTTACAACAAATATGGAAGAGCAGAGATTATTTCGATTGAGGATAGAGAATGTCATAAATTTTGGTGATAATATACACAGATTTCTTAAAAATGTAGGATCAGTATATGTCATCAATTTACAGAATTTTATATTTGGATGTACATATTTTTGTAAACCCTCCCCCCCCCCCCCCAATATTATATATTCCATTACATTCCAGTAGTAGTGAAATTCATATCAAATTTGATTGCACAGATAACACACTTTTTTCATTTCCATCTACCTATCTCTATGGGTAGCCGATGGTTACTTGCTCTGAATTTTGCAAAAAAATATTTCTGAATTTTCTTGGTAAAAAAGTAAAGTATTATTCATATTCAAACTTTGTTTTAAAATACTGTATGTGATACCCTTACTGGAATTGTTTATATCACTATACCATTTTTGAGCTTTCGGTTTATTATTGTAGCAATCCATTTATCATTATGAAAAGTTCCATCATTCCAAAATTTTCACAGTCCTGTTGTGTATTATATTATGTATGCAAGATCTTATCTCGTTTTTGGTATACTTATTCAGGAAAATTTTTTTCTTTATGATTGGGACCTAACACAGCCTTTTTGACACATGAACTTTTAATGGAGCTTGCTGGGTTCGCCTTATGCATTTATGATTTTCAGAATATTTTTTAATCAACATAGAACTACCTTAGAAGTATCATTGGCTTGATACAGTAAAATAGTTGCATGTAGGCAATCGTTGTCACGTGACTGATCTGTACATGTATTCTGTTATGAATAACAGATAAACAGAAAGAATTATTCTAAATTCAGCAGAGATTTTAAACCCGAAAAATTGAAACTAACAGCCTCAGAACATTACGGTTCTGGAGTCATGGAGAGGTCCGATGTTAGACAAATGAAAAGCTATAACGGCTGTTGAGGACTGATTCTCATCACGTATATAAACACACCCAGATAATGTGAACATGTATATGTATATGCAAACTTATTTTTCAGTCAAAACATCACTAGGTACTATTTGTTGTAAACTTTGTAATTATGACCAATATTATTATTTTTACAGAAACGCGCTATATATTAATATCATTCTATAAGTTTCTATAATCATAGATGAATAGTGCAAGTCGTTTTTCTGGGCGTGATTAAAGGACTTTTGGAATTTCCTGTTAGCTAAGGGACCTATTAGAACATATTTTATTGAAAACGTGTCCACGGGATTGGGCACAAGTACTAAAAACTTAAGTAGTTCTCTCCCAATAAAAAAGGAATGTCATAGGGACCTATGGTAGTATCTTGCCAAAATTCATCCTCAGGTAGTATTTGATCATACATTACAGTTTGATCTATCAATCTCGTGGTTTCTTTGTTTACATTACTTTTTATTACATCTGAAGTTGTTTAGTTGACCCCTCTTTTCAGGTTATGCAGAAAAATTTAAGTCTGTCATGACGTCAAATCTCTTTTCATATATCTTTGCTGTAAGTTTTCTCTTTGGATGACTGAACTCTTGGTAAATATCTTAAAAACTTGTTAAATATTTAAGTCTATATTTCACAGAGTGCAATCTTCTTATTTCGGTAAGTATATAGAATTATGGTGTCAAATGTTGTTCTGCACTTGGATATCTAATACATTTGCACCAGAACTAAACTGTTTTTATTTGAATGGCGACTTTGACCTGTCTTTGTAAGTTTGGGAGTATCCCTTGAACACAACTTAAAAAATTTTATATATATATATATATATATATATATATATATATATATATATATATATATATATATATATATATATATATATATATATATATATATATATATATGCTACCAAAGAATATTAAATTTAGAGGAATTAGTTTTTTTTAATTCGATAATCATTATCACAGGCCACAGTTTTTGTGTTCGTTCCATTTCCACAAACCAATTTTGTGGAAATAGAGACATATATACCTCCCTGGTGGAAATAACACGTGACTTGCGACAGCTCGTCTTAGAATATTCAGTGTTTTTTTCTGTCTTTAAATTTCTTTTCCATGAGTTCGAAGTAAAATCTCATCACAATCACCTATCTTCTCACCTTTCTTGCAAACCATTTTTAACAAGTATGAATCTAATAAACAACTACAAAAAGAAAATTAAATTCCACTTTTATTTCCAAATTTTTTTTTTTACAGATCCAAATACAATATATATTTTAATTTTTTCGAAGAACATATTTTTCACATCAGAAATTACATGAGATCAGAAATATTGAAAGTCCCAACAAACTTCCTCCTTGCATAGCGAATACAAATACAGCGAAATTCACAAGGAAGATTTATGGTACTTTAAAACCCCTAACCTAAGAGAAAAACGAAGCCCAAAAAATTTTATAGTTGCAAATTCAACGTTAATTTTACATCCCCCCATACATTTCGTCAATACAATATCCACCAAAACAGGCAGTGACTGGCGTCGTTAAATCGCTAAGCTAATCGTGTTCTGCCATTCACGTCTTTTTGAAGGACACACCATTGAAGAAATGTGTAAAATGATATTTTTTTCCTTCTAGCGCTCCCTTTTGTATTCCATGAATTAAACGTTTCTTTTTCTTACATTTCAAATAGGACCTATAAAATTAAACTTTGCCAATATATTAAACAAAAAAATTAAACATGAAAAAAAAACGAATGCAAAAAAGCTTTTCGTTTAAGAATTTCCTTTAAAAAAATCCAAATATATACATAATTCAGAGCGATCCAATTACGATATTTTCAGATAGTTTGTAGGGAAACGCCAGGCAAACATCATAATCCCGTGTATCTGTGAACCTCTAGCACCTTGTTTATGAAAAGTCACCATCCTTTAAGAAATAACAAGTATATATGACGATTTTCAAGGTATCCCACATATGGTGTGTTCGTCGATAAGTAAAATAACATCACATATACATGTTTTTCAAAAACTGCATGTCCTGAGATCGTAAACTTCATAAGGCGCGACAAATTGTTTGTATGATTGTAAAGTCTTGTTGATGAACACAACTTTGACGAACATCATTATTGCATTTGTTGGGTTAGATAGTAAGTTCACGGACTTTCTACTAGGAAAGCATCGCAGATGCCAGAATCACAAGAACTTTGATCCTCTTCACTTGTTTGTTTGTAAATGGCATTTCCTATTTTAATTTTAGACATTTTCTCAGATGGTTTATTTATTTTCTTTGTTGAAGTTTGAATGTCTTGCGTAGTGCATTTGTGCTTCAATGTGTTTGACAGTGATGTCACTTCCGGAATTTCTGTTTCCTCAGATTGGCATTTCCCGGAGATATCGCCGCAGGATTCGAACAAATCATTGTCTGATACCGACCAATCAGAAACATCGAGTTCGGCGGAACTGTCAGGCATTGAATCATAGCTGCATCTCCTTTTCCATTTTAGTTCTTCTATTGTCTCGTTTAAGGTCAACAGTTGCTTCATCAGAGAAAGATCTTGGTCCATCAAAGAATTCTAAAACATAATAAATAAAAAAAAATATATAAACTGATTGAAATATCCTGAGTAAGATAAAACAAATTTTGCAAAATCTCCTATCCAACTTTTTCTTTCTTTCTTTTAATGTATTGTAGCTTGTAAATCTTTCTCATTGTTTGGTATGTCTTTGTTTGGTCTTATTTAGAGTTTCGGGTATATGCTGCCCCTAAAGTTTGGTTTTTCCTTTTTTGTTCTCAATCGCTTTTCGAGGCGTCTCGTCTTGGCTGCGACTTCATCTTGTATTTACTCAGTACTAACCACACGCGGCGATTTTTTTGCTTTTTAAACATTTACACACACAAAAAACCTCTCTCTAGAAACCACCTTGCAACCTTCCGTCTACTTGTCATGGGTGATAAGGAAAACAAAAAGCCCGCAAGAAAAGCAATCTACGTAGGTTTTGAACAAAGTTCCGTAATATATATTGATTTTGTCAAAATCACCCAGTTCCCCTGTTAAATACTTATTTAATATCTTTTATCGTGAAAAGGTATCATTTCCCCCCGTTGCTGGGTTCAGTGTAAAATTCCAGGCTTTGGGACTTCAGTTTGGATAATTTTGTCACGACGTGGGATTTGATGGGTAGAAATACATTCCCTCCAAACAATGCAGTGAAGATAAGATTTGAAGGGAGGTTAATTCTTTATTGATCAATAAAAATCGTGACCATAGTTCTCAAAAGGAAATTCTATCGGTTTTAGATTCTTATGTATTCTGCATCCATTTAATTTTCATAGATTTAGATGACATTTCCCATTTATCCATTCACTCAAAAGTGACGAATCCAGTTTCTATCTTCTATTAAGAAAAAAACTTTACAATTATGAGTGACTATGAGGAGATTATTTTCATGTTCTTAACCTCTATTTAAGGAGAAGAATTGGTTGTTGTTACGAACAAAGTAAAGATAAACCCGCAATGAAATGGCTTCAGAAATTTTGCTACCTAAAAAACAAACAAAAAAGGCATCTATCATAAGGTCTTCGTCATGCTTGTTTTTGTATGTTTAGGAATAACGTTACGTGTACCTTTAAAAAGCATAAAAGAATCAATTTTGATAGCAACTCAATCCGTCACCATAAAAGATTCATCAAGCAAAAATTTAAAAGATCATCAGATAAAGAATATCCAAATTAAAATTATTATCGCGATAACACCGTTATAGTTCAGGAACGCGATGCTTTTCAATACGAGGGGTTCATATTGGGCGGCAATTACACACAATTAAACTTGTGCATTATTAATGATTCAGTGTTAATTGCTGTTAATTGACAAGAGATCTCCCAAAAAGAAGGCCATGAATGTTTATATATGCTCAAATATATTGTTTCATTGTTTTGTGATGACCATGCGATGCCATCGCACGTCTGCCTCGCCCATATCTAATGGCGTCTAACTCTACTTGGCATGAAACCTAAAACGGTTGTATTTTTTCTCCGTCTTTGATATTATAAGTCAATTTAATATCCTTCTTTAGAAAAAAACATGGATGCATTCTATTGCAGGCGACAGTATACTACCTGTATTTAACCGCGTTTTCTTCAAATACAACATTGACAAATGATTAAGGTTTGCAGAGTCATGGTACGATGTGTAATGTTTGCACATGTTGCTATTTTTTAAACCAAATTAATTTTTCAATATTGTTTTGACAACGTTTTACTCAACATCTGATTTATTAATATTTGAATTGATAATATAAGAGTAGATAAACTTCGCCCTATATCAATACCTTTATAAAAAAATCAAACATCCAAACAATGTATTAAAAAGATAAATATTGATCTTCAATATTTTCAATTGAGAGCTTTCAATTTCTTCTATAAATGTTGAACCCCTTTATTAGTTTGTTTGACTTACTAAAAATACACCAAGTATAGTGTATAAAGTTTGGAACATATGTACCCGACCAAAATATACTTTTGTAGAATTTGTCGTATCTAACTTATATTGAACAAGGAGGGTTATTGTATGTTATACCCTATTCATGGACCAAAAACTCTTTAAAATACCGAGAAAACTGGGGGGGGGGGGGGGGGGCACTATATCATATATACATTCCAACATATCGGTAATTGTTTAAGTCAATATTTGAACATTTTTCTATTTTGGACAGCGAAGTTTATGTATTAAAAGGACTGCAGTTTCCACTGCAATCAATTTATCGCTCTGGTTTCTATGTTTTTATTACAATACAAATATAATGTCATGACAACCGAAAATCAGAACAAATTAAACTGCGCAATGGCATTTAAACCACTTTTAAAATTAACAAATCTGAAAGCAACAAAATTTTAAAATATACCATCATTTTACGGTTCTTAATTTTTCATTTTTATTTATCACGAAAGGTAAAATTACTTCCTTCGATTTTGATTATGAAACTGGCTACATTACCGTTTCAAATAGCTTTTACTTTATAATCTTAAATTTCATACTAAGTTTTAGCACACTTTACATTAAGTTATCAAGACCAATTCCAATGGGTGCTTATCTTTATTTTTTATGTATTTTTTTTTTACGTCAAAGAGGAAAGAGAAATGACTGTATATTAGATTGAGGTCGTAGCAGAGATTTGTCACATACACAACAAACTCAGGAAGCTGCTCTTCAACCAAGTTCCTGTGTTTTTCATTGTTTAAAGTGTTATACAGAAGTTGTATCATAAATGAAGAGTAGTTTAATGCCATTTACGTGCTTTTCTTCTACCTACCACTCCTCTCTTTTCCCAGTTTCCTTTAGTAGAGTAGCCTTCAGAACTTTTTTGAACATTTTTAAGTTTAGAAATCTTTTTTTTTTTTTTGGCTTGTTTGTTAGTTTAGAAAACGTGTATTAGACTCAACCATATTTTTACAGCCTTCACATCAATTTATTTAATTGTTTTTATACTTAATATTGATGTATTCTGTTTACTAGCAATCATATAGGCTTGTGAAAGATTTTGACTACATGTATTATGTATTGTTTTAATCATTAACCACTTGTAACTTAATTCAATCATATTATTTTAGGTCGCGGTTCTTCCAACAACTGCAACAATAAACAAATGTAAAGCAATATTAAACGCCTGATGATTTATTTTCATACTCTCCTTGGAAATTTGGGTAGCTGGCACTCGAACTTTCTCAGAGTATTTGCATTATTTGGGGGAGCAAAGGAACAAACAGCTTGCTAATGCAAACAAGCGTTGTCGCTTCACAGTGCAAACAGTGTCTTATTTGTTCCTTGTCAAAAAGACCCACCACATAAATTTTGCTCTGGAGATAAGTTTAACCAAATATTGATCGAAGTTTTATTAAAGTTTATCTTGCTGATATGTAATTATAGGTCAAAATCGGTTTGGAATGTGCGTTTCCAGACTTTTCGCAATTTCTGGGACAATGATTCTTTTCTGTGTGACTACCAATAATGGGCGGTGGCATTCTGTCGAGGTCGGAAACTGATTTCAGACGGACTATATTTTGTATAAGTACTACTTGCTGCAAAGGTTTTACATTTGGAAAAGAAAAATTTGAATTTAGAATTTTGAAAAAGTTAGTTCTTCAAATATTTCTTGCAGAAAGTAGTAAATTGTAAACAAAGGAGCATTCAATTGGAAAGAAATAATGGAAAGAAAAATAACAGATCTTGCAAAATTATCATGAACAGCAGTAATGGAAAAAATCATAAATATACAAATTCATTCTGTTTCTTTTCAGGAATTCAACCATGCATAAAAATAAAGATTAAAAAAACATTTAAAAAGAAAATGCAAACTATAAAAAAAGAATTCGAATGAAAAATTTTCCAAGTAATTATTAATGAAGAAGACGTGTTTTCAACCTAATTAACATATGACAGAAAACTCACCATTTCTTCTCTGAGTTTGCCCATGGCTATATCGATGGATGTCATCCTCCCTCCCCGGGGGGTGGGATTCGTCTTAGTGGTTTGTTTCCTTGTCTCAGAAGCCTCCATTCTCTTCAGGTAAAACTCTCGGCACTTGTTGGATAGCTCGATAGATTCAGTATATCTATCCGTTGTCAATTCTCTTCCGTAATTTTCTTGTTCCATTGTAATTTTGATATTTTGTTAATTAAGAGTTCGTTCTGGAACTCGCGTCTTTGGATTCTAGTCTATGACTGAAGCACTCTTAGGTTAACAATAATGTAAATATACTTCTATACAATCGCGATTTGATTGACAGCGTTTGTAAAAATCTCCGCCTCCAATCGATTCAAAAAATTAAACACAGGTGACTCACTGTTTCATGTTTGTAAGTATTTACCTTTACGGAAGTGTTTAACTCCATTTACCTGTCCTTCTATATATAGGTTCCCACACTAATTAATTCTAATTACCTTTTTATTTCTATTACTATTCCACTGCCATGTGGATATGATAATCTGTTAATACCGGATAATCCCCACAAAAGTGATGACATTCGAATGTTGTGATTTTTGTGGATCATTTTTTTTTTTCAGTTAAAGGATCAACGAGCTGTTGAAACGTATTTAGTTCAATTATATTTTAATTAATCAAAATATCACGTTTATCTAGTTCCTTGTTTTCTTAGAAACCAAACGAATTAAATTAAACAAGACAGGCGATTATAAATAAAAGAGGATTTAAAGACCGAAAATAATGGAGAAAATGACAAAATATCAAATGGAGTCCATTAACAGGTGACATGTTGTCTTGTTTTACAAGAGGCGAGGAAAATTAGAAGCTTTACAGAGAGATGACACAGGGAAATTTGAATTAAAATTTGTCATCTAAATGGATCAATAAGAATGCTATCTTGTACGGTGGTGTGGGAGAGAACATAAATATTACTCATGTTTCTGGTCTTTATGCCTACATATCTAACTTTCTAAATTAAGCTAAATCCTAATATACATTGATGAAAACCTGTTTTAGATATTTTTCACCTGCTTGGTATGTATAAACGTGTAGATTTGTATTGATACGATCAATACTTAACCAACTTGCTATACTCATGTTGACATAATTTTGTGGGGGAGGCATAAATAAACTCTTGCGTTACTGATGGGTTTTTCTATATTTGGTGAACAATCCGATTTAAGGTATCCAATGTATTATTATTTACCTAAAAAATAATTGCATTAAACCAACGTTTTAGAACCATTTGGCTCATTTGCGAGTAAGAGGATTTTTGCATCTTTAATTTTGCACACAAAACTTTTTGAAGAATGGTAGATAGCTTCAATATCAGTTGAATTTCATGAAGAGCAGTAAAGGTCAAAACATTCTGCAATTTTTCAAAAGAGCATACAGCTTCCCCCTTATTTTAACATATGAATAATTTACTTATTACCTTGAAGTTCAAATAAAAATTATTCTTATATTTAGCAATACATTCTCTATAACTAGATCAGTACTGTGAAATCCACTATGCTTATGTAAATATCTCCGTAATATGACATCAGATGGCTTTAAATAACGGGGAAGGATATCCAAGACTGGCATCAAACCACCACTTAACAAGTAATGTTCGATCTATTCATATATTTTTAGATTTATATTGGAAATTCCTCGTGATTTACATGTTTTGAATTTCCCTTTGATTTTTTTCTTAAAAAGCCCTGCCCATTTCAGATTGCGAAAAAAGGAGTCTTTGTTGCATTTACTAAGTAAAATTTACCATTAGTGAAAAAATACACCAAAGGTTTACATGTTACCATAATTGCAAAACATGATTTCCCTTTGTTGTAACGTTTTTCTGACATCATGAGTAAATGATGAACCCTTATAGACCCTTATTCTTTAAAAAAAAAAAATAGATAAAAAAGTAGAGCGATTTGTAAAAACTCACTTGAACTTGCAGGAAAACAGAAAAATTACCTTGAAGGAACCAGGAAATACGGTTGATTTAAACGGTAGTACAGCGAAATACTAGTATTTGGCAATTGCGAAGACCCCCCCCCCCCTTCCACCAGACAAGTACAGTGACATTCCAGGTAATTTATTGAGTCATTTGATGCAATACTCTGAAAGCCTTTTAGGAGCAATCTATTGAAGAAAAAAAATAATAAAGGCGTAATAACGCCTTTTCAAAAAACGTAATAACGCGAAGTTACGGCGCCAATAAGGGCATAACAACGCGAAAATAGAGTAATAACGCGAAGTAAAAAGGCGTTGTTAGGCTTTTTTCAAAAATGCATGACCATCATGGTAGCTAAGTCGGTAGAGCGCTCGCTCCGTGATCGGAACACCAAGTTCATTGCTATTGCAAACTAACAGTTCAGAAATAAATGCTGTCAGCTGCAAAGTTGAAGGTCGTGAGTTCGAATCTCGGCCGCGACTGACCTATTAAAGTTGATAAAAAATAGGTAGCAACTGTTCCTTCGCCATGCGCTCGGCACTTTGAAGTGAAAGCTGCGGGTGCTTCGGATGAAACCTTAAAAACCGAAGCCCCGTATCACGACAGGTGTTGGCACGATAAAGATCCCTCACTGCTCAATGGCCCTGAGTGCCGAGTAAAGGTCTTCGCCGGTATATGGTGACGTTCCAGTAAATGTTCAACCAAGCCTCTATCTTTACTCCTCACTAAGATATTAACAGTGGTGAAGGAGAAACTTCAAGAGTACTGTGCAACAATATATTCGAGAATTGGTGTAAATCAGATGTGGATACTTAAAAATTCCAAGGAACTTTTGGAAAATTTGAAATCACAAGATTTTACCAAAATCAACAGCTTAAAAACTTACGACTTTTCAACTTTATACACAACCATTCCCCACGATAAATTAAAGTCCAGGCTTTTTGATATCATTGACAGCTGCTTTTTCAATAAAAATGGAACTCGTAAATATACTTACCTTGTCATTGGTCATTTGAAAAATTATTTTATTAAAAAACATTCTGATTGTACACACAAGTACTCTGAAGTTGACATTAAAAAGATGCTTGAGTTTCTGATTGACAATATCTATGTGGTTTTTGGAGACCAGGTCTTCCAACAATCTATTGGAATACCTATGGGTACCAATTGCGCCCCGTTATTAGCAGACCTTTTTTTGTATTCATATGAAGCAGAATTTGTCCAAAATCTTGTACGTGAAAAGAAGAAAACACTTGCTGTGGCCTTCAACTCGACATTTAGATATATCGACGACGTATTGTCAATTAACAATGGCTATTTTCATTCTTATGTCGATACGATATATCCTGGTGAACTTGAGATAAAAGATACCACAGAGTCTGATACATCTGTTTCATATTTGGATATTTTACTTGAAAAAGACGTTAATGGTAATCTAACAACCAAGCTTTATGATAAACGTGATGACTTTAACTTTTCAATCGTCAACTTCCCTTACTTATGCAGCAATATACCTTCATCACTTGCATACGGGGTATATATCTCTCAGTTGATTCGATACGCAAGAGCATGCTCTACGTATGTACAATTTCTAAAAACGAGGTAAATTATTGACAAATAAGTTGATGAAACAAGAATATCAGGTGTCTCGTTTAAAGTCATCATTTCGTAAGTTCTATGGTCGATACAATGACCTTGTCAGCAAATACAATTTATCATTGAGTCAAATGCTGACTGACGTTTTTCATACTAATTGTTAGACCATTATTTACACACTGAATTGTCGACGGATTTTTCCGTTATTTCCCGATCATGACAAGGAGCACACGGCGGGTGTGACCGGTCGGCAGGGGATGCTCACTCCTCCATGGCACCTGATCCCACCTCTGATGTTTGGAGGTCCGTGTTTGCTCTGCTCCTATTTTGTATTGTATAATGGACTTTTGAGCTTGAATACTGTTCGTTATCTCCATATATGTCACTCTATATGAGTGAAAAATTCTCGAATTGGACGTAAAACAACATACAATCAATCAATCAATCAAAAAGGCGTTATTACGATTTTTAAAAAGGCGTTATAACGCAAAGTCAAAAGGTGTTTTACGCCTTTTCAAAAGCATAGGCCTATTTGAAAGGCCTTTTAGGTTCGAGTTATTACGCCTTTTTTTCCGTTATTACCTCTTTATTCGAGTTATAACCCTTTTATTTCGCATTATTACGCCGTTATTCGAGTTATAACCCTTTTTATTTCACATTGCGCCCTTTTTTGCGTTATTACCATAGGTACTTGTGGACAAGACCCCCCCCCCCATTCAAGGTTTGTTGGACATTTTTTTTCACAAATTATATTTATTACACTTATTCATCATGTGTACCATAGGAAAAAATTGTGAAAACCCCAAAATAATCGTTCCACACAAAAATACCCCACTATACATTAGAAGAGAGCCACAAGTACCTGTTGTTCCAATGTAAAACTTTGATCGCCCATTAATTGTGGTCCCATCCTACCCCCGGGGGTACTGAGTTGAACAAACTTGAATCTTCACTACCTGTTTCCATATCAATATGATAATCAGGGCTTTGCTGTTCTTGAGATAAAGATTTTTCCTATGTATTCCTATGAAAAAATTTGATCACCCATTGTGGCTGCAAATTGGAATTTACATTACCTGGGGATGTTTCCCCATAAGTTTTATCTTTCTGGCATGGTTGTTCTTGAGAAAAAGATTTTTTAAATATGCCATTAATTTGTCACTAATTCATAATTATCTCCCCTGGGAAGAAGGGGTTGCCATTCGTTTGAACAAACTTGCCTTTACCCTAAAATATTTTGTGGCAAGTTTTGTTGAAATTGACCTGGTGGTTTTTGAGAAGTCGAAAATGTGAAAAGTTTACAGACAGACGGACAGCTAGACAGACGGACGCCAAAATGTGATCAGAAAGGCTCACTTGAGTTTTCGGCTTAGGTGAGCTAAAAAGACGATGTGCACTGTACTACACGCCTTCAGATCGCTCTAATCTGACTGACATACGGGGCATAAAAAAGCACATGCTATAAACAAAATATTGGATGCATGAAGTAGTATAGGTATTATAATATATCTTTGGACCCATTTTAGTTATAAACGCCTATATCAAATCTCCAAAAGTATTTTTAAAATATAGACTTTACAAGATCTTCGTTTTGTCATCTCCCTTAAATTTTTTAAAGGACATTATTGTCATTATTGCAAAACTATGAATTAAATATGAAACTTTACTGGGCTAAACTTAGTCATTACACTTAAATAAACATAGATTTAGTTGTTATTTTCATCTGTCCTTGAAGCGATCTGAAGGCCTGTGCAATAATTATATGCAAACCCAATTATACTTGTATATTGCATAACAAACTACCACAGTAGACGTAATTACTTTTAATTTGTTATTTTTTTTCCAAACTTTGTTCCAAGTCTAACTATATCTATGCTGGAAATGTTTGGAGCAACCTATGTTTATGTTCAGACAATTGGTTGACCTACTCAAGATTATCGCAGTGATGTCCCTTGATCATGTTTATTACATGTAGTATTCATAAACTAAATGATTACAAAATATCAAGAATATTTATGATTACAACAAACATTTTACTAGACAGTTTTTAACCAGAAGTCTCTGATGAGACTGTAGCTCTACTGGTTTGTACTTAAAAATAAGAAAGAGAAAAGTAGTACTGCTATGAAGAAGAATAAATAGAATAAGCTTCTTGGTTTAATTTTTTTGATTTATTGAATTCAGACTAAAACGGCAGTAAGAGTAGAATTTTGCAAGTATTTCACAGAAGTTTCTTTTTTTAGTAACCAAGGTAAGACCGCTAAATCAAAAACCGATAATCTGAATTATGTGTTTTAGTGTAGTCTACTTGTGTGCCAAAAGTAATATTAAAATCAGACCAAAAATGTAGAACTAGTGTTTTTTTTTTAAGTATTTCACAGAATTTTCTATTTTTAGTAACCATGGAAACACCGTTCATTGAAATCAAAAACCAATAAATAGAATTCTGTATCTTAGTGTAGTCTACTTGTGTGCCAGGTTATACTTATAAATCAGACCAAAACTGTAGAAGTAGCATTTTGAAAGTACAGAACATGTATTTCACAGAAATTTCCAATTTTAGCAACCATGATAACACCGCTCATCAAAACCAAAAACCGATATATAGAATTGTGTATCTTAGTATAGTCTACGTGTGTGCTAAGTTATTTTGAAATCAGACCAAAACTGTAGGAGGATAAGCGTTTTGAAAAATTGTTTACAGACGGACAGACAGACGGACGGATGACGGACGCCTTACTTCTGGTCTCTGACCAGTAGAGCTAATAAAAAGAGGTGTATAATGTTTTGTAGTTAGATATGAAACTTATTAAACGAGTGGCCCGGGACAGGACTTATTTTTAAAAAAAAAATACTGAATAGATACGCATGTATGTGTGAATCAAACACTTCTATCATTCGATTAAATTTATAATTCTTTAGCAGAAAAAAATATTCATGTTTTGATGAGTATATAAATGACTTATTGTAACCTGAAGTACGTATATCAATATGTTTTGTTCTATCGAAATGAATAACATAACAAAACACACATTGTAAAGAGTATGGAATTAATTTTTTTTTTGTCAAAATATACTCATATGATCATATCCATTGGAATCTAACTGAAAACTATCGTAACCCAAACATTTTGATTGAGCAAATATTTATTTATTTTATTTATCACATTTTTGATAATTGAAATACTGTAAATTATTCACGGAATAAAATTGAAATGTTATTTAAGATTGTGAAAATAATGAGTGTGTTGTTAGCCAGAGTCCTTCACTTTTAAATTTGTCATATTCTCAGACGGAAGAAAATATTTTGTCCCTTCCGTTTTCATAAAAATGAAAAAAATATTACATGTAAAAACCTTCCTACCTGAAAGACGAAAAATAATATCAGATACTTTTTTTAAATTGATATACATGTTGTTTTTATCTACGTATTATTTTTTTTATTTTCATCCCCCTTTTTGTATAATTATTTTTTACTTCACCTTATGAATTGACATATTTTCTACAAAATATTAAAGACTGAACACTTAAGGTATGTCACTCGTGAAATTTGTTATATCAAGGATTTTTTGAGAAGTATATTTTGGACAAGTACTCATATAGTATGACTCAAAATCGCAGAGAAAATGTGGGGTCAGTGTGCATCTAACTGAGCTACGGTACAATTAAGTTGACCTTTTTGCACTTAAATTGTAACTCTTTGGTTAATCACTTTAACCGTTATCATATTTTATCAGATGTAACCATGGCAATAAACATAATCTTATTTTACGTAAAATAGTTTGAATAATATTTATCATTGAACAAATCATGCAAATTAATGCGCGTAAATTATTGTGTGACCTTTTTGCACTAAAAAAGTCTCATATTTGGGGCATTAAAAATCTAAATAGGCAATAGAATATTTTCTTGTATCAAACTTTTTACGACTTAAGTGCTGGTCGGTCAAAAGTATCGAGTAGTTTAAAATTATGAAAGAAAAAGTTTGGGTCAGTGATGTAAATTTTGAAATATTGGTCAAAATATGCGATTTTCTGGCAAAAAACTGTGTAAATTTTATCTCGACTTCCTTAATACATCTTCATTTCTTGGTAAAGTTTGTTGAGCGAAGGTGTAAATTTTGTTATAAAAATATAAATTGAGACCTATATTTAATATTCCAGGCATATCATAACGGAAAATATTCTCTGAGTAAAAGTATGTGAGGCTAAAGTTCCAAGATATTAAATTTAATGAATGTGTAGATTTGCAGAATTTTCTGCTAAATATCCTTCCACCACAAGAAATAGTCCCTTATAAATCTTGCTTCTTTATGGATTTTTGAGCAGTTTTTTAATTGAATGTTGAACATTTTATATTGTTTAATTTAAATATGTTATAAAGATTGAATTGTAATAAATAGTTTTTAAGTAAGAGGTTCTGACTGAAATTTTCTAAAAGGCTGACGAGTGACATACCTTAATAACAAATTTGTAACGCATTAGCACAATTTTAAAGATTTTCATCGCTTTGATACGTTAAGTCAGATCTAATAACGTGGGAAAGATGGGAACTTGAAGAAGACACCTCATTATGTATTTAATCGCAAATACCAGAAAATGTTTTGAATAAGAAAGCTTTAACCTATGTCATATGTAAAATTATATGTTATTATTTTTTTTTTATTCATATCAATGGGTGACTATTTTAAAGATAAGTATTATTGACATTGAAAATGAACATAAAAATTATTTATAAAGCAATCAACATTTCTTCAGGCTTCTCAACTGAATTCAGCACAGGGATTTCATGCCCAGTATTTTTTTGCAATTTACATGGAAATAGTTCAATTTTGGAAACGGTGTTTTATATAAGAATATGGAAATTACTGAGGACTACAGGCCCGTAGGAAGCAATTTCACTTTGAGGGGCACAACCAAATATTTTCAGTTGGGGGGGGGGGCAATATCAACTACCAAAATTTCTTGACAAGCAAAAAAAAAAATGTCATCAGCCGTTATTATTGAGGGGGCACAAGTATATAGTAGCTATGTTTTCTATAGTGTGCTATATATCGGCAAAATTATTGCCCCCCCCCCCGTGCCCCCCCCCCCGGTTCCTACGGCCATGGACTAGACAACAGGCTCTTTCTATACAAACAGCTTTATTCTCTATGAAATTTAATTATTCTTTGAAGCACGTGATACTTCACATGAAGGGCAAAGCAGTGGTTCTGGAGCATTAGCTAGTCTAGTTTCCATCCACTGAACGTTGAGCGGCTCCATATAGCACTGCTTTCTACATTACCAATAAGCTGGCCTTCAGGATGAGTGCGGAGGAACACGACGTCTCCCTGATTAGCTCTAATAACAGCCACACCCGTCGTGGACCTCCCATGATCCGCTCCCTGGGCATTGCAATGATTGGCGTCTATAACGTCAGAGTTAAGGACGGCTTGGACATTTAGGTATGCCCCGGTGCTACAGAAGACTGTGTAAGCAAACACATATGTCCCTTGCTGTGGAACAGTATAAATACCAGAGAACTTGTTATAATGATTCCCATTGTCAGTTTGAGCAACATCAAATACTAGTATGTGGTGATTGCTCGGGGCTGTTTCAGCGGCACTCATATAGGCATAAAAGGCTGGATTGACAGCATCTGTGTATGACAGTAGGGCGACTGTGTGAATAACATGCTGTTGTTATATAGGACTACAAAAAAAAAATTAAACCAGAAGTCTCTGGCGAGACTGTAGCTCTACTGGTTTGTACTTATAACAAAGGAAAGAAAAGTAGCACTTGGACTTGAAACTTTACAACAGAATAAATAGAGTAATGATCCTTGGTTTAATCTCTTTTTGTGGCAAGATTTATTGCAATCAGACTAAAACTGTAGGAAGGGTAACCTTTTCAAAGATTTTTTTTTCGGAAATTTTGATTTAAGTAACCATGGCAACATCATTCATGAAAATAAAAAAAATGATAAAGAAAATTATGTATCTCAGTGTAGTCTATTTAATTGCCTAGTTACATTGAAATTAAAGCAGAACTATAGAAGGAGCAGCATTTTGAATGTATTTCACAGAAATTTGTATTTTTAGTAACCATAGCAACACTTCACCAAAATCAAAAACCAATAAACAGAATTACGTATCTCAGTGTGATCTACTTGTGTGCCAAGTTATATTGAAATCAAACCAAAACTGTAGGAGGAGTAGCATTTTAAAGGAATTTCACAGAAATTTCTATTTTTAGTAACCATGGCAACACCGCTCAACAAAATCAAAAACCGATGCACTGAATAATGTATCTTAGTGTAGTCTACTTGTGTGCCAAGTTATATTGAAATCAAACCAAAACTGTAGGAGGAGTAACATTTTAAAGGAATTTCACAGAAATTTCTATTTTTAGTCACCATGGCAACACCGCCCAACAAAATCAAAAACCGATGCACTAAGTTTTGTATCTTAGTGTAGTCTACTTGTGTGCCAAATTATATTGAAATCAGACCAAAACTGTAGGAGGAGTAGCATTTTGAAAAATTGTTTACAGACAGACGGACAGCTAGACAGACAGACAGACGGACTGACGACAGACACCTTACTATCGCATAAGGTCTTCTGGTCTCTGACCAGTATAGCTAAAAAGAGACCCAAGGGCCACAACCCTCACTTGAGTCACATTGGCACTGTTGCCGCTCATCAGATTATTTTTCTTTTCAAAAATGCCAATAATTACCCGGTATTCCAATGAAAATTTTTATCCCATATAATGTGGCCCTACCTAGCGTTATGACTTAACCGAACTTGAATCCACACTTCAATATCGGTATGAATAACTTGTTGTTCTGGAGAAGAAGATTAGCATTTCTTTTTCTGTCTACATGTTTATATAAATTTTGATTCCAGACTAACCCCCCCCCCCTCCCCCGGTTTATAATTTGAAGGGAAAAAACTTAAAACATATCTTGGGAATAATCATACAACTGAATGGTTTTAGCGTGACCCTACTAGTCTTTAGAAAAGATTTTTTTTAATTTCCTATTTTCCTACTAAAGTTTGAAACCATGTTTTAGCCCAACCATAGCCCTAAGGGCCATGATTGGAACAAACTTAATTTGCACTGCAATTTAAATACTTGCATATTAATATAGTGGCTCTGTTGTTTTTTGAGAAAAGGATTTTAAAATATTTAATCCCTTATTGTATCCCAATTTCATGTTTCCCGGGTCGTGATTTGAATCTGCACTTTCTGGGGACATTTGCATAATAATATGATCATGTTCTGGAGGAAGACTTACGAAGATTTCTGTCCTTTACATTAATATGAGAAATTGCAACACTGCTGTTTTGAGAAGAGGAATCCTAAATATTTTCCCCTATAGACAGTTAAATATTTTATCCATCATTGTGGTCCCCAAGGGTAATGGTTCAAACACTAGTCTTGATATGCCTTCCCTAGGATGCTTGTACGTACAAATTAACATTAGCCAGTAGATGTGGTGAGGAAGTCAAAAGAAGTTAAATAGAGAATACATACCATTTTCTTTATCACATCCTTATCAGCACGAGACACCAATATCAGCCAGAGAACCCAAGACTACTGGTCGATGGTTGATACAGGATGTGATACGGAAAAGGGTCTTTTTATTATATTCATACTTCATAGTAATAAAATACAGCACACATCTTCTTGAGCAAATACAAATAAATAATCATGACTAGCTTATTATATATATATATATATATATATATATATATATATATATATATATATATATATATATATATATATATATATATATATATATATATATTAGGGATGTCAATTTTGTCAATAATACATATTCGAATATTCAATGAAAGTATTCGAATATATTCGAATATTCGATAAAATAAATAAAATCTGTGTTATTTTAAATATGCATCATCCTACTTTCATGAAAGGTTTAGCGTAAGTATTCTTATATTGGAAATAAAATTGTATGAAGACTTTTGTAGGTGTACAATAAGGAATTCCTTTTGATATTTGTCAATGTTTGAAAAAAAAATAATTGATTAAAATGTAGAAAAGTATAATTTTAACAAATGATACATGTGTATTTATAGTAGCTCCAACTAAGGAACCAGTCGTCTTACCAAAGGCAAGATGGTCGTATACTGTTCAGATTTCAATACGTGTAATTAATTACAATTATCAGCCTAATCAGAGATATGATTATAATCTTTGATACAATGTTTTAAAAATATAAACAAACATTTCCATAGACAATTTTCCTAGGTAATTAACTAATTTCCCGATAATGAATATAAAATTCAGGATTATGTACAACCCGAGATAATCAAGTAATTTACACATTTATTCTGAAATTGAGCCCTTTACAATATTAATTACAGACTAATTCTATCGGACATTCATTTGGATGATCAATTAAATTTGTTTTGATAAGTATACTCTTCAAGTCTTTTAGACATTCTAAGAAGGTTTTCATTTTGTTGTCCTCGATTCTAGATCCGATCGTATTTAACTAATAAAAACTACGAAAGTGTGTTTTGTATTATACATAAAGCATTATTGTATAATTCTTTAATACGTCACTCAAAACAAAATAATTTAATAGATCTATATAAGATAAGAAAGTAGTGAAAGAAATCAAGCGATCGAAATTGATCGCTAGTAAATTAAACAGGGGTAGTAAATTCCACCACTGTTCTAATCAAAATTTATTAATCACAGTACTTCTTTTTAAGAAATCTGAAAAAAACACCGAATATTCGAATCTTAAATTCATATTCGAATATCAACTCATCGAATGAATATTCGAATGTTCGAATATTCGTTGAAATCCCTAATATATATATATATATATATATATATATATATATATATATATATATATATATATATATATATATATATATATATATATATATATATATATATATATATAAAACAAAAAAAACAAAAAAAAAACAGTGATTCAAAATTAAGGTAATGTGATAAAAAATCTATCTATTCAATTATTCTTTAAATGGATTTCGCCGCAGCTTCGTGAAGATTTTTACAACCGCTGTATTACAAGATATAAGTGTGCCTTAAAAAGAGAGATGAATATCACTTCAGTTGAAACAATTTCGTTACCTGGAATTCTTTTCTGAAGCATACTGGTTCTTGAAGTAACATCTCTGATTCTCGTGCTTGTGGTCTCAGAGGCATTGCAAGGCGGGCTGCTCTGTCTATTCTTGTCATTTACTGGAATTCCTGAATCTTTAAGACAAGTCACTGTATATATACAAGGGCAAATTTTACCCATCATTTGACTTTCAAAACGCTTTTTTTAAAAGATGATTTGTAATTAATCTTAATAGTTAATACTAGCAGTTGTTGGGTCAAAAACCATGCACCACTGTTTTTATGAGCATACATAGATGTCATAAGGTAGCGATCTATTTTAAGAAAAACACATTCGTGAACTCTTCGTTATCACTTAATTTTTGACAAACAATCTCACCGGCATACTAGTAGTTGCCTTTATCAACAATGAACTATAGCATTCTCCTGAGAAGCAACCAAAAACCGAGGCTTAAAAGGGGTTATTTATTTTACATGTATTTACCTACCTTGTTCTTCCTTCCTAACATCATGGATCTGAGACTCCAGCAAACGGATCCTCTTTTCTTGTCTTTCCAGTTTTTCTTCAAGAGCATGTATTTTTTCCTTCAGAATTCCATGATTTTCCTCCTCGACAATAAACCTGATTGTTTCCCCTTGGTTCTTTTGAATTTCTTGCAGTTTCAAAATCATGGACTTCAGAATCTGAATTTCGGCTGAATTGGAACACTGACCATAGTTAAACAACGATAGAAATAAAGATAGAAAAACATAAAAACATTCTGTTGACGCTAGATGTTCAAAATGGTTTATTGCCCAAGACACTCTTGATAAGGAATATGATCGTTCATTAGAAATTATCTTAGAGGTGAAACGGTAGACTGTATAAAATAGAAGTTATCTTAGATGTAAATACATGTACAAGACAGTAATATCAAAATGACAACTGTTACATGGTTCTATCAAGGACACGTATACCGTCACCAGAAGAAATCTAAAGCCACTGATAATTACAACAGACTGCAAGAAAACTTCACACAATGATTAGGGCCTTGATTATATTTCAGCAAAATAGATTGTAATGGTTTATAAGGCCGTGGTTATCAACCTGGATAGCTTATTTGGTAAAGCACATGTCTAGTGATGCAGTGGTCCTGGGTTCGACTCCCGGTCCAGTCATACATTTTCTCCTTTCCTGATGCATAAATTGGTGCCATTGACCACCCCTGGACTTGCAGGTAAAAGTCCTGCCAGTGGCAAAACGAACGAATTTTTCTTTTTACCTAATCATGACAAGAAGCACATGGCGGGTGTGACCGGTCAACAGGGGATGCTTAATCCTCCATGGCACCCGACCCCGCCTCTGTTTTCAGAGGTATGCGTTGCTCTGCTCATAACTTGGTTTAAACGGACTTTTGAGAATGATCACTGTTACCTTCACATCCACGCATAAGAATGAAAAGTGATGTCACTATATACACTAAAATGAACCATACATGTATGGTACATTTCATACTTATTACATGTATTGCAATAGTTTTGATATTTGTCTAATCTGCATCTTTAAATATCAAACTTTTTCTGCTTTGTCATATTATGGATCATAAGTTTCTCAAAATAAAAATTTATTTAATCAATAAGTAGTTATACTAATTTAATCAGTTCTACCCACTTACCCAACACTAGTCAATTTCTTAGTACAACCAAAAAATTGCCATGAAGGTTCATCGACTCTCTGTAGTCAGTTTAATTAAGGTTCACTGATCCTCTGAGGAGAGATAACTCTTACAGGGTTTAATGTCTATTACTCCCTTATAAAATTGTCAAGATACATAGCCATTTCTGTCCCACGAGGTATGCTGAAATTGTGTGCAATTTAGTTTTAAATTTGATTTCTTTTGCAAGAGCATTAGTTTATAAGAGTAAACAGAGGGGTGAGGAACCTTAAAATTTTCAGTATGGACTCCATTAACACAGCAGAAACACCTGCCTGGCTGAATGGACACTCCAAGTTAAAACCATTACTTATGTTACCTATTATTGGAACGGTACTTCATTGCTGCAAGCAACACAAACATCAGCCTCATAAAACTCTTTAAGGGAGCAGACTGGGGTTTTATTGTGTCAAAACTATGGACAAACTCTTTAATTTTACACCATATGTTACTTGCATCGACTTCAGTAAACATGCCAAGTTTCAGGAAAATCTACTATCTAGGTATTATTTAGGGGCCATCTCAAAATACAGGTACATTTACTATTGGATTATATGGGAAATGCCAATTTTTCACACGTCGAAGCATATTATACAAATTATACTACAACAGACTTTTTGCTCAAATTATAATATTTGATGAGTAATACTACACTGTAGATTATATGCATGATAAACAAAATTCTATCGTCTGGTTTTCAGAGGGGGCATCTCAAAATGAATGATATTTTCCTGTTTTTATGGAGTACAACAAAATATGACAGATACTACAGATTTATTTTTTAAAAAATACAAAAATAATTGCAAGATTCTCAAATTCCATTTTTTCAAAATTTCAAGAGCATATATTTTATAATTTTCAATTTATGACATAACTAATTACCTTCTTAAAGAACTTCAGTTAATCATAACGTCAAAAACATACTTTAACAAAGTTCATCTACTTTGAAAAATCGTTTAAAAAAATCAGTTACTTAAAAACGTAATTAGATTTTTTAACCTGTGATTTCTTAATTTTGTTAATTTTATGAATTATGAAAAAATAGTTAACGTTGCTTTAAAAGAGTAAACACACTTTAATTTACTATGTTGCGCTAGGTATGGTGGAATGAAAACCAGTCAGCCCCTTTAAGATATAAATAGATTGAATAAGATATACTATGAATTTTTCCCTCACAAATAACAATGTAGATTAGCTCAGATTTGGCAGTGCTTTATTGAACACATAAAGATAAATATGGAAGACTTTTTCTGGTGGTACGTGCTAACAACCACTCTTAGCCCTGATCATCATTAGCTGGTCCAGGGAACAATAAACGTTTCAGATTTCTTCGTCTGACTCTGTTTCCACAGCCAGGACAGGTTTTATCCAGATTCTGTCACAAATTCAAAGAAAATACATATCTAATAATATATTCTAAATACCTGTATGCACACAACTTTCCGAAGGTGTACATCTTAAATATTGACATATAAAAATGTCTTATCTTTGATATGTTGATTATGGAATGTAATCTGTCAGAATGATAATTAAAAATCTTATTAAGCAAGATATGATTTTGAATCATAGTGGTACCACTCTATTGATTATGAATCACTTACATTAAAGACTTCCTTCCAACATTTGAAGCAGCAAACATGATCACAGGTCGATTGGAATGGAACTTTTGCCTCACTCTGACATTTACAACACACATAACCTACAAAATATGGGGATATTCCTACAGGTTTATTTGTTTTTGTGCATTTGTAATTCATTGATTTCTGAGTTATGATCCAATTAGTCATGAACCAATCATGAATTAGCACCCTCAATATTTCTATATGTAGTATATGTACGGTAATTTCTATTATGAGCCTCTGAAGTTTCTCTGTTACAAATTTATGCCAGAAAAGATATCAATCCTCTTCTTCTTGTCAAAGCAGTTATGTTAAAAAAAATTGTGTCTTTTTTCATTTTTTACAAATCAATCTGAAAATTAGGGTGCACAAATTCAAATGGCATATATTAATTCTACGAAGTTTGAAAGTTTCAGAAATATTTACATTTCTGATTGTTTTCTCTGTGATAACTCTTTAAAAGCTGGATGAGTTGATTTCTTGTTAATTACATATGAATGTAAATTTCGCCAAGTGAAAGGTCAGGAGCCTAATATGCAAGTCAATCTTGTGCGGTTGTGTCTGACATCAGTGGGTGGGGACTACTGAAATTAATATGGGAGGCCTCGTGTATTTTAAATCTATTAGACAGCATTTTTAAAAGAAGATGGGTGAACAAGGCGGGCGAAGTGCCTCTAGTGCGACAAACATGAAATGAAAAATAAAATCTCAATTATATCAAAATTTTCTTTGATATTTCATATCACATTTTAGTATACTTTATGTAAAATCTCTACAATTTACAAAAATCTCACAGAGACTGAAATTATCTGCCTACAAAATAGCATACACACACTCAAGAGGACAAAAAGGATCATTTTCTCATACTTAAACAGAATTTTTAGATATGAGTGGGTCTTTGCTCCATTTTTTTGAAAGTTGATCCTAAAAGTTTGCATAAAAATATACATTTTTTGGTTTACAAAAACATGGAGCAAAGACCCACTATACCTTAAAAGTACACTTTTATGACAAAGCATTCGCATCTTTCCGAGAAATACTTGAAGTCCACTAAGTAAAGGGTCATATCACAAACATTATTTAAATGCCACTATTCATCAGGATCTGTGTAGCATAGTGGTTAGCGTGTTAGTCTCAAAGCAATATGATACTCCGGATTTTTATTGTTAGGGGTTCGAATACCATTTTAGTTTTTTAATAAAAGAATAATTTTTTCCGAGATTTTTTTTCTCAGAAAAGTTTGTTGATCATTATTCCATAAATTTCAATAATGAGAACTTTACTTTAAATATACTTAATTCACAAATTGCATATGATTTTTTAAATATCTGAAGCTATAGGCATTCTGCACGCCCCTTGCTCACCCATCTTCTTTATATTTTCAATTTTATTTCACAACAAAGAATGTAAATACAAGTATAAGGAATCGCTGTCTAGTTTGTTGGGTATGCCAGGGACGTCAACGACAGTTGGAAACATGAGGTAACTTATGCATAACAGGCTTTGCCCGTTATGCAAATTATCCCATGTTTCCAATATTTTTGATGCCCTGGCATACCCAACAAACTAGACAGTGATCCTTAAATCATCACACAAAAAAAGTCTACAGAGAGACATATGAAATGAAAATATAACTCAAAGTATCATTGAATACCATATATAATCAGTATAACATCATCAAATTTAAAGAATGAACCTAAATTTTAACAGACAAACAGCTGTTTTCCAACTGTTTACAACAGAATTGTGTAGAACAGAATCTTGCACCCAATATTTAATCCACTTCCTGCTCAAAGATGGTGTATTAGAAATTGCCAGGTGATCTGTTTTTAGCCAATCAGTATTCTTCAAATTTGCCTGACGTGGGATACATGTAGGTACAGAGAAAACTAACCTGACTTGTCCTGAGAAGGGCTCCGTATGTCTAGTGGTCCAGCCACATTCTTGAGCCGCTCACTTATACTTTCTCCTGTACTTTGTTTACAGTTCTGTATTTCATGATTGTCCTCACATTTCACAGACTGTGCTCCATCACTACTCTTATTGTTAAATTTCAGAGAGGACAGGTCCCCTGTCATAAACTTCTTGCTGGATGTGTCTGACTGATGAACATTAGATAAAGTCTTGGGCTGCAGAACAGATCCTGAAAATTCTGTTTTCTGTTTCTTTTCTGGTTGCTCTAATAAAAAAGTATCAACTTCAGTGCATATTAGAATTCATTCACTTAAATGATTATTTTAAGTCAACTAACTTGTACACTTAAAAAACAAAAAGAATCATGTTATCTTTATACAAGAAAATAAGTTAAACCTCTGTTATGTCTATATTATTCTACCTGTGATTAATTCCTGATATTAAA